TAACGCATGTGACTTGGTACCACACGGCATTTTGATCTAAAATACTAGAAAGATTAGATTAACATGGTAGGTCTCAAACTGAAACTGTAAACAAGGAATCCTCAACCACTCTTTCTAGTGTAGTCTCACATAGATTGGCTTTGGTCCTGTGCAATTTAAAACATCTGTCAGCGACCTCGAAGAAAACGTTCTTCACTAAGAAAGTTTGCAGATGAGACAAAATGGGGGTAATGGTAAACCGAGTGCAAGGAATGTGAGTCCATTTTGGTCAGTTTCAGTCTTAAGGTTTTAAAAATCTGAAATTTCAGGGTGTGTCTAGGTGAGGTCCCAACCCAAAACAGGAAACGCTGCCCCCAACCATCTAAGCTGTGCCCTTGTGTGGCCGCTCGGGAAAGATTTGGATGCCGCCAGCTGATTATCAGAGAGCCCACAGCTAGATTTTGTTTCTAGTGGTGGTGCACATTTGCACTTGTCTCAGGGCACATAAAAAATGTATTCCTCACCTGGATGGAAAAGATTAGAGGGAACATTGGTTTGGGGGTGGGGATGTTGCAATGTTGTCCCTTTCTCCCTCCTTCCACACCAGCTCTGGGCCTGCTGTAATGTGGACCTGAATGCGCCTCCCCAGTGCCTGGTAGGATTCCCTGCTATGGGAGTCGGATGACCACCAGGATCCTGGGGCCAAATTTCCCCTGAGAGCAGTGCAAATCGCTTCCTACTGGCGTTCAGAGGTACTTGGGCGAAGGGGCGATTTCACAGAAGGGGAGGGGTCTTGTTTGAGTTACTGGCTAGTACATTTCCACACAAGTAGCTGCTTCTGCCCTAGCCCTGCCTTTGCTTGGGGATGGGAAGACATCTGTCACACATAGGGAAGCGTGGCACGTGAAGCACCAGTCACAGCTGTGAAGTGCGTGTAAGGGGGAATCGACCTTTATGTTGCACATTAGGATGCCAATTGTCCCACTCCAGGGAGAACCATAATAAGACGGAGAGTACCCAGGAGGGATGTTTTACTGCAGACAAAACCATCCACCAGTCAACAGAACATGCAGACTCCTAATCTGAGAGAGGAGTATGAGGGGCCTTTTGTTGCTTCTCTCTGTCTGTAGCATTGTCTGTCTTATCCAGAAGGTCTAACTACCAGAGATGCCGGTCTGTCCCACATTCCCCACCCAGGACTGCATGCTTGCTCCTGAGGAAAGTGGATGTGATCTTCTGGAACCAGCAATCCACTCCAGGGAAAACGAGACTTGGAAATCCGTGCTAAGCCTTGGACTGGGACATCAGGAGAGAGCTCCAGGAAATCAGCCAGCCTGCCCCAAAGGGGAATAGGAAAAGAAGGGGGCTGAGTGAGAAGGTGGCCTATGCTGGAAATAAGAATGTGCTCCCAGGAGAAGGAATCTCAGGGAGAGACAAGGGTTTCTAAGTTTGAGTTTTCACGTCTACATAGCAGGGCTAAAGTGGAATTAAGCGACACAACTTCAGCTGTGTCAATTGCATAGCTGAAGTTGAAATAGCTTAATTTGGCTTTTGGCACTGTCTCGACAACAGGAAGTCAAAGGAAAAGCGCTCTTCCTTCAACTTCCCTTGCTCCTCTTGAAATTAGGGTTACAGGAGTTGGGATAGAGGACTTTTTACTCTGACATTGTTTCAAAGTAATGGCTTACTGGATAGACGCGCATTGTGATATTTTGAAATAGTACCACTTATTCTGAAATAACACCGCTGTGTAGACATACTCTTAGAGATGGGTCAAAGCTAAATCCCTGCTTCCAAAAACTCCCAACTGTCTGTGAGGTTCTGGAATGGATTTGGGGCCAATCAAAATCCCAGGTCCAGATACCTTAGCTTTGGGATATTTGAGATCCAGATTCTAATTTAGTGTTTCTAAACAGCCAATGGTGTTTTAGTGCCAGCAAATTAATTAAGTGCCAGCAAATCAAAAGCCGACTGGCACTTAAGTAATTCTGCTCTCTGAGACAGATACACAAATGGACAAATGAGCTAGAACGTGGGGGGAAGTTCAAATCCAGATCTGAATTTTATAGCTCTGGGCTGTCTCTCATTAGAAGGCTGCTGCTCATCTTGCCTGAGAGAAAAGAAAGAGCTTTTGTGATGTCCTCTGAAAATATAGATGGTGATTCCAGGAAAGCCTGGTTCCTCTCTCACCTCTGGCTGGAGAGTCCCTGTTGCCTAGTAATTCTGCCCAAGATCAACTCTTGGCCTGCATTTGATCAGTTTGATAGCCCTTCACCCTCTCCCCAGATGCTGCATATGGCAAAGGGTAGCAAGGAATGTGTGTTCCATCTTGCTGAGGTTACCAGTGGTTCTATGACTAGAAATCAGAGAGATGCAAAAATGTGAGGAGAATAATCTGTTTGTGGTTCTGTCATCAGCTTGTTGTAAACAGTGTACAATGATGGCTGGTCTGTGCAAAGATAATTTTGTAGGCTAAATGGGTGGAAAGAATATAGAAATTGCCATCTTGGCATATCTAGTCCAGCATTGGCCTATGCATCAGGCTACAGAGGAAGACTTAGAAAAATAGTCATATCTATTCACACTGAAAATGGATGAAAGGTGATGGAATTTCCTTCATGACTCCCATTCCTGAGCACGTGTAATCATGAAGGTGTACAAGTGTGCCTCTGGGCATAGTACAGCACCTATTGACTTCCCTAGAAAATTAGCTTTCTGTCTCTTCTTATGAGATCTTCCAACTTGAACAGGGGCACTGGAACAATTTGTAGAGTAGATGTGCAGAGAGCCACTGAGCCGAACTTCAAATCTTTGTATATGGTAGAAACCACTTCAAGCCAGAGGGTGAGGCAGCACCCCTATTTTCAGCACTTATGATCTTGAATCTGCTTTGGTCCTATCTTCCCAACAGGCACAGATTTACCGTCTGTAGTAATGTTTTTGTTTCCTCCTTTTGCAAAGCAGAACTTTTCAGGAGGGGCTTTTCCTTTTTACCTCAGCCTAGTAGGCTACTGGCTCGCTACCTTCCTGACAACTCCATTCCCCTACTTCTTTCTTGCCCTTTAATTTCACACCCATGGGGCAAAACACTATACATTGTTTATGCTGCTTTTCATCTCCGTCTTGATCAAAGTAGGCCAGTTCAATAACTGACATTAAAGATTTAATTTCTGCTGGAGTTTTCTGAGCAGTGGACTACGGAATATCACTGTAACAGAAAATTTACCCCCTACCGCATTTCCTCCCAGAGGCATTTTTAGGTGTCTGCACAAGATGGTGATGATGCTAGATAATAAGCAGCAGATCTAATGTGCTTTAATGAATTTATCCCAAGGAAGATTTGAGAACCAGCTCTCTGGGTAACTTGTATGCCACAAAACTACTTCAAAGCCCCAATGTTCATCGGGTATATTATTCCTTGCCTTCTGGAATAAATGTGTCACCTTTTCCAAGACATAGTGCCTCTTCCACAGCTAACAGACCATATCTGGCATGTTTTGCTGGCTGCTACGGCATTAGCATTGGCTACTTTCCCCTTTATGTCAGTTCTAGTTCTGGCCACAAAAAAACTTGCATCCAAACTCTTCATTTTCATTCTACTTTATTAATCATGCAATTCAACCATCATTCTCCAGTGAAAACAGTAGGGCTGCATCTAGACTGGCAAGTTTTTCCGCAAAAGCAGCTGCTTTTGTGCAAAAGCTTGCCAGCCGTCTACATTGGCTGCTTGATTTTGCGCAAAAGCACTGACATTCTACTGTCCAAAATCAGTGCTGCTTGTGCAAATGCTTTAACGTTCCCGTTCGGGCAAAAGCCCTTTTCCAGAAATGTTTTTGTGCAAGAGGGCCAGTGTAGACAGCTAAAAACTGTTTTGCGCAAAAAAGCCCCGATGGCGAAAATGGCAATCAGGGCTTTCTTGCGCAAAACTGCGTCTAGATTGGCATGGATGCTTTTCCGCAAAAAGTGGTTTTGCGGAAAAGCGTCCGTGCCAATCTAGACGCTCTTTTCCGCAAATGCTTTTAACAGAAAAACTTTCATGTGGGCACATGAACACTGCCATTGACTCTCGTGAGATGGCTGACATGCTTAAAAGTACACATTTAAGTCCACTGCAGCTGATCTAGCAAGGGCTCTCTGCTGTATGATTTTTTTGCCATCCAGAAGGAGTGTATTGCATTACTATAACCAAAGCCTTTATCTTTGCTCTCTCTGGGGGAGATGGGAAGGTCCACTAGGTAAGAGTTTGTACACTGCCTCTGAAAGTAGGGAAAATGAGCAGAATAATCAATCAGGATAGTGCATTAGTGATAGCAATGTCCTCTGGAGACTTGCATTTGATGCAGCTAAGATCAAAGCCCATCTCTGCATCCTGGCTGTTGCTAGAGGTGCAGTGTCAGCCTTTGGACTCAGTATTTTAAGAAGGAGTTTGTGATCAAGGGCATGCATGGTATTTAATTATCCCCCAAATAATGCTTAATGTCTCTTTCTCTTTGAGAGTAATTCCTCTCAGCCTTTGATAATGTTCTGGAAGTAAATGTCGTGGGGTTTGCCTTTCCTTCTTTACAACCAACATGCGAAATGACAGCTACCAC